GGGGCTCTATCAAGGGCAGTGCTCAAGTGGTGGTCTACTGCTTCTGCGGTGCCTCCAAAGAAGATTCGGCCTGTTGTACCACGTTCTAGGGCTTTAGCAGTTGCTGAGATGAAGTGTTGCTGTATATTTGGGAGGGGAGGGATTGGGCGTCCTCCCCCCCTTCCCAGGCCCCTTCTCAGGGGCGTAGGCGAGGCCGGAGGTCTCCTTGGAGGAGTCTCCATGGAAGGAATTTAGCTTATTAAGCGAGAGTAAGAGAGATTGAGCGTTTTAGAACAAAAAATTCAATCTACGAAAAAAGGTGATGGTGTATTTCAGGTTATCAAACTGTAAAAGTTATTAAGGGAGTGTTTATATACCTTGAAGCTTCTCATTCTCTCCTTGGAGCCAGCTTATATATCCTTTACATCTAATTAGCTAGAGGGAAAAATGGGAACAAGTTATAAAACTTACTACGCATAAAATTCACGGATTGGAAGGTGTCTTGATTCCCTTGTGGGTGGCTCATTTCGAAATGGCCAACCTTTGCTTGTAGTTCTACAACAAGTTCTAAGGTAGATAGTCAGATGAAGAACTGGCTTGAGATACACTTAAAACTTACGAATCAACCCTCGTGTAATGCTAGCCAGAAACTTGACCATTTCCGTAGGAATACAAGCATGGCTAAGAGTCTCTCCTGCCATTTTTCTAAACATTTGATCGAGTTCTCTAGGGTCAATGATATTCAGAGTAGAATATCCGGAAAACTTACCACGAAGCTGGGTAACTCGAGCATCTTCGCTAAGGTACTTTGCATAGCTTACTAGATCGATGGGGATTTCGACTGGTACGGATTCCTCAGGACCCTGTGTACACCTGTACATAGTTAGTATGACAACTATAGAAAGCCGATTTTAGCAAAGATGACTAACTCTTTGTTGGTGACCGATGTAGCCCGAGAGATCGACTCAGTAGGATTCTTTTTTATCAGAATTTATTTTCCCAGCCTTAGTGGTCTTAACTCACGTAGAAACTGTGTCCTTCTGGGATAGGCCCAGCCTGGGACAGAGGTGGCGCGCTCATGTTAAGTTGTAAGGAGAGGGAGTAGGATGGAGGGATATTGAATTTGAATGTGGTATGATGAAGGAAGTGCGCCGGCTCAGGTGCTCTTCATATCTTCTAGGAACCTTGTCTCGACACAGCCGAACTTGCCGTGTTTGTCAAGGCTAAAGTGGGTTATTGGTTAACTGCGAGGGGTTGTCGAAGCTAAAGGCTCTATCTACCAAATCTGCCTCGCTCAAAAACATTGGCGCTGTCAAGGGGTGTTCCACTGTTGCAATACCCTCAATCATTCTTGCCTTGGCAACATCCTACGAGGATGGCAAATCATATCCCCTGCTTGCAGTAGCCCTGTTGTCTTCCTTCTTCCTCGGCGGCTAAGGGTAGTTGTATGACAGCAATATTCACGTCAATAACTTGCAAGAGTCCTGGCCTCCATATCTTCACATTCTTAGGACATTTGTATAACTGCTGGAGGAGCTCGCTTATTTATTCCACTTACGTGACACGCATTTCCGGGCTTTGTTATGTAGACACTTGATTAGAATGAGTTCTTGCTAGCAGGAACTGTTACAATAAAAGACTGTGATGCCACGTATACTCTAGGCCTACCAGCTTTGACCACGCATCGGAATTCGAGGCCAAATTCACCAAGAAAGCGTGAGCCTTGCACGTGCGGCAATCCCGGCTGTGGGACCAAAAGCTGAATACCCTCTCCTGGCCATTCACCTTCATTTTCAGGGATGAAGTGTGGGTATTGGAGCATACCAGCTGTTGATAGGGCCGTTATAGGTGAGTCTAGGAAGGAACGCGCATCATCCCCTCTAAGACTTCCACCAACTTGATTGACTGGACATGCGAAGTACATAGCAGTCCCTGTACACGCCACCTTGACTGGGAGGGTTGTCTACAGATAGAAGAATGGCATGTAGATTGTGCTACATCATTTGATGTTAGGGGACAGGAGTGTAGAGTCGTCATACGTATGAGAAATGGGTGTAACACGAACTCGGGAGATCCTTCAAAATCTTGCAAAGCCTATCATAACTGTCGGTTTAGACGCTGGATTGCTATTAGTCTAGTTGCCCTTTATCCACATCATACAACTTGATCACTATCCTTGACACTTGCACACGGGGAGGCGTAGCCATGATTGGACATTTTACACTTAGACTTGAGAGATACAAATCTACCTTAACAAGATCTTATACTAAATTTAGTGCTTTTAGAGATTACACAAGATGCGGCATTAGAGTAGTAGCTTAACTAATCCTTTCCACGCAATACATACCCCTTTTCAAGCTCGGTTAAATGCTTTTTAGACTTTCCAGGTGCCTTGTACTAACAATACCACGTCTGCCACGCTTATACATCTATGGCTCAACTTGCTATATCCGTTGAGGCTGGCGTGGATTATCGATTCGCGGGAAATCTACCTCACTCAAAATTAGCGTCCACAAGGGTTCAGGTCAATATCCATCCATCCTTTTCCTGATTTATCTCTTGAGATAAGCCTAGGAGCCTATATCACTTTCCCTGCATACAACAGCCCCGATGAGCATTTCATTTTCTGCGGCGACTCCGGCCCTTAGATCGAAAACTGAATTCTCTCCTGGTCACCTACCTTCTTATTCGGTGTTAGTACGTGATGAGTGATGGAAGATGCCTCGCACACTGTGAGAGGCCAGACCTTGAACAGCTCAAAGGTGTGGTTTCGAATATTGAATTAAGAAGTGCGTGAAGACTACATACATGCGAGCTCTTCCTCTATATATAGAGAGAGGAAGAGCTTCCTGAATATTCCAAGAAACTTGCAAGAAACTTGAATGACGAATACATGATGTCAGAAGAACAAAACAAGAAAGTGTGGAAAAAGTGCGTGAAGACTACATACATGCGAGCTCTTCCTCTATATATAGAGAGAGGAAGAGCTTCCTGAATATTCCAAGAAACTTGCAAGAAACTTGAATGACGAATACATGATGTCAGAAGAACAAAACAAGAAAGTGTGGAATGGTGGAAACCTGTTTGGCGGTGGGGTAATGGCCAGTGCTAAGCGGGGACTTTGGTCAGTGCTTAGCGAGGGCATGGCCCGAGCCTCCATCATGGGTTCCAACCCTCACACACACTTCCTAGCTCTGTTTTATCTAGTACAAGAGTGGGTAAAGACATCTACTTTTTCCAGGTTTGACTTTTCTAGCTCTAAAGTAGAAACCTAACCTTTAACACAGAGATATGTGAAACGATACTGATCCTGTTATATAATAATCAGCTTAGTTGGAGGATGTGATAAAGAATTCTCTATACTAATTTTGACTTTGTCTTGTTAACTTTACTCCTTCTTATCTGTTGTCTTACTTTCTGGCACCCTTCATCATGGACTCGACCCCACCTCCTGAGTATGGCAATGAAGCCGCATATGGAATCTCCTTGCAAACCGATGAGCTTACCATGGGCGTCGCGCCTTTGCTCTATCCCGATTCCTGCTCAGAGATCCAACCCCCTTATGCAGAAAAAGAAGAAATATCTATCGAAAATAATGCCTTTATCAGCGACAAGACAGGCAGTAGCGCAACTTTTCTGCTCTTGCACCGAAGACTGGCCCCCTCACCAATTATTACGGATTTCGGGCCTAATATCACTCCCAGCCGCCATCGTCGGGGATATTATTATGCACCATATTACCTGTCCCAGATTGTTTTAGTCTCCTTACAGGGTAGACAGGTACGGCAGGAGGCAGAGAACGAAATCTTCTACGAAATTATCAAGAGTCTTGACATAAGTCTGAAGGCCGTCTTTGAGATAGGCTTGAGACTCGGTATCAAAACGTGCAAGGCTTGGAACCAAAACATCCAGGATGGCGGCTTAATTCTGTTCCTGACACTTGCGCGGCTTCTTGAGGCATTTGGATCCGTTTTGCACCCACTGGCACCATTTATCTCACATCGCAGAAGAGGCTGTGCAAGGAACACTGCTCAGGGATTACGCGTCTCCATTTCAACCAAATTCACAAGCTGAAAGATGATCTGATATTTGTTGGGTTTCTACCGCCAGAGACTCTTCCTAGCGCTTCTGCCGTAATCGAAGAGTGGCTCCCAATAGTGTGGGGGGAATTACAAGGGTCGGGAGGGAACAGGAATGAAAATCCTCTCTTCTGTCATGTTTTGCAGAGATTACGTAGCGTTGGATATGAGTTGCCCGGGTTGCTTCTTCTGGCGAGAAAAGACAAAGCATAGGGTTTGTAAGTAGAAGCAGAATCTGCATGATCCATGGTCGAGGGACTAGCTAGTAGTATGAGGAAGCTAGCACATAGAAGCGCTTCATTCCTGATTTTCTCAACTCGGAGTTGAGAAGTAGAGCGGTGAAGCATGAATAGGGAGTACTAGAATATTTTTGTGAATATAATTGAAACCTAATATTTTCCGCTCCAGGCCAAGTGGCTAAATTTTGCTCTTGGAAATTACGCTAGGGCCGGCCGTGAGAGCGATACAAAGCCTTGTAATATATGCTATGCCTTTAAAGAGGGTTCGTTTGGTCAATTCATCTCACGTGATATGACCCGTTTTTAAGCTCGCTACTATAAGGGGGGCTAGCCGAAGGTAGGGGTGCCCTTTTTTTCAGCAGTCCCTCTCTTAGCAAGGTAAGTACGAAGGTATTGGTTTGAACTAGCTAGAGAAAATATGCACGGCAGCAAATTTCGCGAAATTCGCTAACACTCATAGATCGTGGTTAGTTCTAGCAGAACCCGCATAAGGAGTTACTGCGTGTTGCCTCAGCAAACACAGCCTGGTGGGTGAACATCGTTTCTTACCTGCAGATATGCACTTCGTGTATGCGGTAGATCAAGTTAGTTAAAGTCTTAGTGGGAATGTCGTTTCTTCTAAGACCAAGGATCAGATTTCTACTGATTGGTAGTAAAGGGGGGCCATGTATATATACTTCAGCTTTCGCGACCCACTGATTCCTTAAATAGGTGACATTCGAGGTATTGGCCCTAGATGCCTTGTTCGACTGTCCTTATCTGTCTTAGATTTGTTATACAGGCTGACTTCGAAGACTAGAACTCAACCCAAGGCAGGTTAGCCGACAGTCACAATGGTGCAATACCTATAGCCCACTTGATTAGCTGTCGGTGACAAAGTGGGCGCCAAAAAAGTAAGAGGGTATAGGATGAGAATAACTTCATTCTTGCAGGTGGTGTAGAGCCTAATGCATGCTGCTCCAGTAAACACTGCCCTACTAATAAGCTTCCTTTCCAATAAGAGTAATTGTCATTAGAGATATCTAGGGCCGCCAATATATAAATCTTACCATCTCCCCTCTCTATTGTCTCTCCCTTTGTCATCTGTCTTCATCTTCCCTTATTATCTCACTTTATACCTCCTCATCAATCAACCGGCCTCAATCAAAGCCTAACCTTTACTTGTTCTCATATACCACTGCTTTCCCCGTCACATCGTCGCCGACATGGGATCGGGAACTTCTCGCGAGAGCGTAATCGATTCCGAATATTGGGAAGCAGAGTTTCAGCGAATACTACGAACCACCACGAACACCTACAAAATCGAAATGATTTGCTCCATTATTCCATCTAAGGATGAAATTGCCTTGTTCAAAGTGTTAAAGGCACGATCAGATCTGGACACAATCTTCGCACGCTATTGCGGATCGGGCGAGCAAACTGTCGACCTCTCACGAACAAACAATGAAAAAGTCGCTGAGATCTGGCGAGTGCTTCGATACCCACCAGGATATGGTGTCTCTTGGGACTGGAACTGGCAACTGCCACTGTCGGGTGATCCTTGTGAAATTGCGAATGAATTCTATACAGCCGTCTGTCGTGCTGTCTTCCGGATTCCCTTACTCGACTTCGTAAGATGTGCATTTGGATATAACAGCAAGGCACTTTCTATAAAGTTCTTACTCGATGCGGTATGCGAAGTACGCGATAGCCTTCGGCAAGCATTTCAGAATCATTCCGAAAGGAAGGACCTTTTTATTAGAAGGTGAGCAAGCATCATTCTACCGAGACTCCTGTATTAACTTGATAGGTATTACAGCAGCGATAACACCCACTGGCCTACTGGATCGTTGCCAGCAGCCTGTATGATACAATAGATGCCCCATACAATACCTTGGCCGCGATTATCAACCAAACCACGGCATGCTTTACGAAACGCGATTTGGATTCTGTGCTTCATCAACTTATGGCTCTCAATCGGCGGTTTAAACACATCAACGAAAAGTACAATTGGGACAAGTGGTCGACTGACCTTGACCTTTGGATATGTACTAATCAGACATTATGGACGGGAACTCTGACCATACCAACTATGCCTCTACATATGCTGTCCGAGGATCAGGAGGAGATATTATCTCTTCTTAGAAACCTTGAATCGACACCCAAGGGTCGGGTTCGCAAAATGTTGTCCTTTCTGAAGAGACCGGGAAGTTGTGGCATCGGAGCGTAAGTTGACACTTAGGGTGACTGGACATAAAGATGATGTGGAGATGATGTGGAGATGATGTGGAGATGATGTGGAGATGATATAGGAAGGGAAATTAGAAGAGGTAATGGCCATCAAGGACAGAGGGCCCAGTGCAGGGGTACAGGGTGTGGCAACTGCGGGAATCCCAGTTAGTAGACCGAGCTTGAATTGTCTCATTATAGCAGAAATTCCCATTCCCTGCAGCAATCCGACAACAACCGATCGTGCACTTACTCCGTATAATGTGGCCTCATAGAACTATTATATATACTCTTTCAAAGAGCCAGACTTATCAATCCTCAGAATTCTCTGCTCTAATAGATGATCCGGCATAGATTTCTTAACAATATCTCGGGTGAAGATACTGTCACAGGGTTGGTTACTTACTGTCAACAATATATTTCTAGTGAGCAATGCGCTTTGGCAGGAAATAATTCGTGGCCCTCCAAATATTTCCTCACCGCCTTCCCGAATCTATACTACCGGGAAATAATTCGTAGCCCGCCTAAATTTTCACACAAGAGCTTGCGATAATTAAAGCCAGGGCTGAGAAGGTAATTAGATGTTATTTCAAGTAGAGCTATCTGAGAAATATCTTGTATAAAAGTTCTAAAACAACAGGTCATCTCTGAGTCGACATGTCCTGCCCAGAGAAGCCACCTACATGCAGGCTTCGAAATTAGTGGTCTAACGGCATACGAAGGCATCGAGCTTCACCATATGCAAAAGTCCCGCAAGCTATAATAAGCTCACGAAATTGCAAGAGATCAGATACCGTCTAGTGTTAATGTAAACGCTTCAGAGAGGGCGACATCGCGGGGGGTGGGTAGCTATGCCATTGCTTAGGGCGAGACGATTCAGAAAAATATCAAAATACCCTAGAAATTCAAATATTCTAGCAGGTGTTTATATTTCCGACATCTTAATATAACTGGATGGAATGATGAGGCAGAAGAGGTGGCTGTCGTGAGTAATCACGTGCTGAGATGTACCTGGGCATGGGCGGCGGTTCGCGTCCTTGCGATTTCAAAAATGCAAATCACCAAATCCACCTGTTTTTGGGAGCAGCCAATTGTGGCAGCCTTGTTATTATATAGATTTTAGCATATTCTACTAGGCTGTGTCCTAAAAATGTAACTACACGTCTATACTCCCGGTGAAATATGAACACTAAACTATTAAATGAGCCCATAAAAAATCCCCCCCTCCTGTTCCCCTGTGAGGGTTGGAACCCATGATGGAGGCTCGGGCCATGCCCTCGCTAAGCACTGACCAAAGTCCTCGTTGAGCACTGACCAAAGTCCCTGCTTAGCACTGGCCATTACTTCACTGCCAAACAGGTTTCTACTTTTCCACACTTTCTTGTTTTGTTCTTCTGACATCATGTATTCGTCATTCAAGTTTCTTGGAATATTCAGGAAGCTCTTCCTCTCTATATATAGAGGAAGAGGTCGCATGTATGTAGTCTTCACGCACTTCTTAATTGAATATTCGAAACCACACCTTTGAGCTATTCGAGGTCTGGCCTCTCACATCCCCAAGCCTAAAGAGTTCTACAATACCCCTCACAGCAAGCAAAACCCATGCTGTGAACATTTTGCCGGTCTACAATATCGAGAGCCGCGGCGCCGCACTTCACTTCGCACGTTAGGAACGGGAGATAGATCTGCTAAGTGGCCATAAAGCAGGAGAAAAAAGTATCTGTCATCTTCCGTGTATGTCGATCGTCCAAACCCCATTCGATTGATATCTTAAAGTACCTATTTTGTATCTTTCGTCATCGCAAAATAGGGAGTCTCGAGGCAACGTCTACTCCTTGTCCAGTAAAATTCGGCAGAGGCTCTTGCTTGTATTTGTGATGCCAAAGTATTCTGTAGGCCAACGAAATACCTTCCTCCAGTATTTAAGTGATAGGAGATCGCGAGGGGGATATCCGCGGCCGCTTCCAAGAAGAAGCAGTAGTAGAAGGGGGGGAGGTGGCTTCGTCTTAGGATAGTTTTTGTTTTCGATACTTAGCCTGTGCAAACTTGACTTAGGTTAGCTTTATCGCATAGCAGGAGAAGGACGACATACCGGTTTACCGGAAGGGTTGCTTGTTGGGGAGGGAAGTGGGTGCTTTGCCCTAGTATTCCTGTCTTTGGATATTGTTCTGTCTTAGAGGCGGGCGTTGTATCATTTCTAGGCGTGCGTTCTTACGAGAAGATAACTGTAGTGGTTCCTTCTTGATACCTTCTTGCATTTAGAATCGCGAGCAAGAGCGTGCCCATCTAAAAAGTGGCCACAGCGATCACAGCTGCCTTTCCGGCCGGAACTAGTCGACATTCTTTCTCGAGCCTAGGGCGGATACCCGAGAGAGAAACCGAGAGGGATCTCATTGTTTTTATTTTATCACTGCATCTAGGCATCATCAAGTTCTCCTTTGATATTGCAGGATGTTGCATGCTTGGCAGGCAATATGAATCCAACAGAGGGAACGTCATATGTAAATTTAACGAGAGCTTATCATATTAACCGTCGCGTACTTCTTATTGGCTCTACCTTGAGCCACGGGGCCTTCTGGGTTTTCCCCAGTTATAAGTGGTTCTATTTACAAGACACAACGCGAAGAAGTGAAAATAGAAGAATGCATGAGAAGACCTTTGAGGGTCTTCTCGATTACATGATGTCGCCCGTGGCACGTATAATCACGTGATTCTGTGACAAGAAGTACAATTATTTAGAAGTACAAGCAAGGAGCATTATAGATTATGACCTCCTATAAAGTGTGGGCTCGATGGGATGAAAATGATGCTAGGATCTAATTAGTTACAAGTCTAATATAATGGGACATCCTTATATAAGATATTCCTTTTCCGCGGGTGCCTCGTCAGACCCATGATGTTAGTATGATAATGTCACGCATTGGGATTGGGAGCTTATCTGCCGGAATACCAGGGCCCGCAAACAACGTTGTATCCATTTCGGTGCTTAATGAACCTTACCCCGCATTTAAGATCCTCCTTCCCATCTACATCTAAACTTCTTTCTATTAGATAGATCAAGAAAAATACGATTGTCATCACTTCACCCCTCATCTATCCTACACAGTCAAATTGAACCTGAACATTTGAACACTACACCATCTGTTTCTCAAGTTTGTACAAACATAAGTTACGCAGTCAGTATGCCAATTTGGCAAAAGCTCACTACCTTAGCAACATGGTGGAAGTTTGCAACAGCACAATTAATAGATCGGGGCCGGTAAGCAATTGTACTTTCAAGTCCTGGGCCGGGGTCATAGAGAAGCTCGTGGATTGTGGATCAAAAACCTGTCCACACTCCGATTCATATGTCCCCCCAAAACCTCAGAAGTAAAAAGGTAGAATCGGTCTGTGTGCGTATATGTATTGTAAGCTAACACGGGCATTGAAATGATGAATACTGATGTAGTGTAATAAGTAGCATCTTACTATCACGGAAGGTGTGAGCAGTTGTAGCTTGGTTGGTTGTTTTATTGTAAGGAGGGAGAGGTTTTTGAGGATATTATCTTGTTAAATAATAGCATACAAGTATGAAATCATATTATCTATGTTTGATAGTTGTTCATTTCCTTCACATCTAACTTTTGGGATCATTCCTCCGAATTTGCAGATCTCCCTCCAGTCAACCACCTACAAACCTCTTTGAAAGCCCAATCATCATTGCTTGTCTGCGACAAATGAACACTTGGATCGTGCCATTGAAACGTACGCTTCGTGGTAGAGCCTAACGGCATTCCTTCTTGCAAACAAGAGTCAAAATCAATGATCACGGGATTATCGTCCTGCGTGATCATGATGTTATCGAGATTGATATCGTTGTGGACGAGATTAAGAGTGTGTATGTGCCTGATACCTCTCTCAACCCCCCTTATATAGTGGCTGGCTCTATTCTTGGTGATTTTAGGCGTTTCCTGGAAAAATTCGTCCCTATTAAGATGACGTGGGTTGACCATTTCCATCAGAGTCTGCGGATACCTCGAGAAACAGAGGCCTGTAACTCGTCCATTGTATACCTGACAGCCGTGATATTTTGCAATATTTGGAGAAGGATGTTTCTTCAGAATTTCGCAGGCTCTAATATCGTTCAGAACAGTCTCACAGACATTCCACCCATCCTCATAGCTCATGAGATTTGGGCTTTTGATATAGTAGTCTTCTAGGGAAGACTCCGGTGCTAAGGTGAATTCTGGTAAATAGAGAGGGCAGTACGATTCGAAAGGAATGAGCGTGATATGGGTGAGGTCCTCTTTGCGAAGTGTGATATTCAGGTTTGATGGAATTCGAAATTGGGTTCGCGCATGGTAGATGTTTCCACCCTCTAAGAATAGAACTTTAGTGTACTGGTATTGGAGTACACCGTCGACGAAATCGAAACATTGCGATATCTTTTGGAGAATCATCGTATAGTAGGAATTGGTTGAGCGTTGTCGTCCCCGATCTTGGAGGACAGTAGGTCGCACGGGGTCGCAGTCAGGCCGATCTGAAGCCTCTCACACGCTAATTCAATACGTTCCTCATAATTCAACGAAAAGGCAACCAGTAAATATTAGGGGAGTGGCGCTCGAGCGAGATGCGGTACTGGCCGAAAAGACCCGGTGCAGTTAGGCTGCAATGAATGCCTTTTAAAACGTCTTCAGGCTTTAGTGGCAAACCTCTAGAATTTACCTATTTGGGATTCGTATATCATATCAAACACTCAGAGCATCTCAATACTCTACGCGTGCCACGACGGCCGTGACGTTTTCAGGCCCAAGTGAGTGAAGCATTTCGACGCCAGCGCATTGCGCCGAGCCTATCCCGAGAGTATCACGAGATCCTTTCGACGGCGCTCTCGCTGCGGACAGAGTTACAATACAAGCTTCGCTCATCTCCAACAGGCTTCACAATATACCTCGTTATGGAGGTCACCAAGGAAACAGATATCATCAACAGCCATCCTATCAAAGAAGTATTGGTTACCTTTTCTTCGGCATTTTGAATCATCTCAAGCGCGTCCTGGTTTCGATAGATCTGAATTGCGTCTCTGATAACGCTCTGAAGGCAACTAACTACCCACCACTAAAATAACTTCAGCCTCATCTCCCTCCACCTCATGACACGAGGGATTTCACAAGATTACCTCCTTCGTTACAGCCAATGCTATCCAGGGCTGATTAAGCGTTGGGTAAAGTACTATCGAGTCCTTGATGAGTATCACTCTTCTGGACGGCTGCCTGAGAATAATTCCACCTTGCTCCATATTGCCTCTTCCGCTGGTCTATTAAGTGTTGTAAGGGGTATACTCTTGAAAAATCCCGATATTGAGCAAATTGACGACTCAGGAAACCGGGCTCTGCACCATGCATCTCGTTGGGGGCATGCAAAGGTTGTTAAAGCTCTACTCGAGATAGGCGCAAATTTTGAAGCAGAAAATCACAGCAAGTGTACAGCACTCGAGCGAGCAGCAGCTAATGGACATGAAGAGGTAGCTCAGATGCTAGTTACTAAAGGTGCAAATGTCAACAGGCAGACTGGATGGACTGGGAATGCTTTATGTGGAGCTGCCGCGAAAGGGAGTAAAATTATAGTGCAGCTGCTTCTCGACCATCAAGCGAAGGTCAACGCTCAAGGCGGGCGGTATGGCAACGCTCTCCAAGCTGCAGCATTTGGGGGCCATCAAGCAATTGTGCAGCTACTCCTCCAGAACGCAGACTTAAATTATCTTCATCCCAACTTCGCTGAGGACCATCGCTTGCAGGCTCCCGGCACTCAAGAGATTATAACAATCTTACTCGGAAGTGCGGCTAAGATAAAATCTTTTCATTCCGATGTCCAAGAAGGTCGCGACTCCGCAGTTGCTTCAGCACTTGAGAGTGGCATGAAACCCGACGTCCCTGGTGGCTTGCACTTGTATGCTTTGCATACTGCAGCGGGTCAAGGAAACCTTTCAATTGTTGCTTTGTTGTTAGCGAAAAGCAATGCCGAGCTTAATATAACAGATTTCGCTGGTCGAACCCCGCTTTGGCTAGCTGCACGATCAGGCCATATTTCTGTCTTAGACAAACTCTTTGAATCAGGAACAGTGGATATCAATCCTCAGGATCTCGAAGGTAGATCAGCGCATTGGCAGTCCTCAGCTCGTGGAGATCGCAATGCTGTTGAGTGGCTATTAAGTCGGAACGCTGATCCTGACATTCCAGATAATTATGGAATGTCACCCTTGGAGAAAGCTCGGATTGAAGGAAACAAATCTGTCATAGAAGCTTTGATTCCACATAGTCGGTCTACTAAAACCCTCAACATCACCCGAAATCCTCAGTTTGGTATTGCTATCCTGGCATTTGGATTCTATTGGGTAACTTTATCTTGTAAAGCATTACTTATTCATCTGGGCGTTATTGTTAGACATCGACAGGAAGACTAGCACATCAATTTCAACTCCTCCAGAACGCAGACTTAAATTATCTTCATCCCAACTTCGCTGAGGACCATCGCTTGCAGGCTCCCGGCACTCAAGAGATTATAACAATCTTACTCGGAAGTGCGGCTAAGATAAAATCTTTTCATTCCGATGTCCAAGAAGGTCGCGACTCCGCAGTTGCTTCAGCACTTGAGAGTGGCATGAAACCCGACGTCCCTGGTGGCTTGCACTTGTATGCTTTGCATACTGCAGCGGGTCAAGGAAACCTTTCAATTGTTGCTTTGTTGTTAGCGAAAAGCAATGCCGAGCTTAATATAACAGATTTCGCTGGTCGAACCCCGCTTTGGCTAGCTGCACGATCAGGCCATATTTCTGTCTTAGACAAACTCTTTGAATCAGGAACAGTGGATATCAATCCTCAGGATCTCGAAGGTAGATCAGCGCATTGGCAGTCCTCAGCTCGTGGAGATCGCAATGCTGTTGAGTGGCTATTAAGTCGGAACGCTGATCCTGACATTCCAGATAATTATGGAATGTCACCCTTGGAGAAAGCTCGGATTGAAGGAAACAAATCTGTCATAGAAGCTTTGATTCCACATAGTCGGTCTACTAAAACCCTCAACATCACCCGAAATCCTCAGTTTGGTATTGCTATCCTGGCATTTGGATTCTATTGGGTAACTTTATCTTGTAAAGCATTACTTATTCATCTGGGCGTTATTGTTAGACATCGACAGGAAGACTAGCACATCAATTTCAACCGTATATCGATGCATATTTTGGCTATTGCCTACCAGCACCGGCTGCTGTTTTGTCTTAACGGCAACGAGCTTCCTACTTTCGACCATGTCGATCTATCTCAAATACAAACAGCCTAGCAATTGTTCAAGTGTCTCCAGGATAGATACGAAAGCCTCTCCTTTTCGATATTTCTCCTAAAACGCTTACTGTTAAAGCTTGACTATATACACTTTGTCCGGGTAAGCAAGTACTCGGGTTAACTCTATAGTGTTACTGATATTATGTAGGTTCAAGTTTTGCCAAGTGACTTCTTAATTGAATATTTGGAACCACACCTTTGAGTGATTCGAGGTCTGGCCTCTTACACATCAATACAGGGCAATTGCCGGATCCGAAAAGTACAAAGTGCATGAAGACTAAGTACATGTGATAAGGGTGATTGAGGGCATGCCCTCATCCATTTGCAGCCTAAGTCACAAGGCAGAGAGGTTCGCTTAGCGAAGGGATGGCCTGAGCCTCTATCGTGGGTTCTAACCCTCACATGATGCTATCTACACAATATGAGCTCTTGAATCCTAACACGAACCCCTCTAACTTAGTTGGTAATAAATATATGATGCACAAGTATAAACACATTAATCACTGTCTATCTCTTTAAGAAAGTCATTGTCTTGACCATTTCCCAAAAAAAGGATGATCGACTTCGGTATTAGGATAAGTGCAATACCATCGGATAGGGAATCTATTTCACAGTAATTCTTGACATTCTTTCTTTGCTGATTATTATTCTGTCTTAGCCGATCATCACTTGTTTTATTGATATTTGCAATCTGTTGGTCTAATATAGAGCATGATTTGTCTAGAGCATTCACGGTAGCGGCTTGAAATTGTTAAGTTGGGGCACTAGGAGCAGCTTGCTTAGGGATATAGATGATGCTATTCATATATTATCGATATGGAGAAGTAAGATCGCGAAGTTTATTAAGCAGGCCTGATCAATTTCTCAGCTGGACCCCGTGAGATTGTTCCATGAGACTTCTCAGCATGAATAAGTAACGCGATTCGATCTTTGAGGCTGATATTGCAAACCCGACATTCAACATGATTGCCTTTTTCCAGCTTCTTGACGTGCTTCCTCAAAAAATGCCTACTTAAAGAACCGGGATTTGCATATGACACAACCCTCTCACGCGTTGTTAGATTCGGATTTCCAACGCATAGGAAACACATGGTTGGCCTCTTGTCTGTCTTGATCGATAATACCGCCTTGCGCAATATACTTTCCGACGATAGTGCTATTAAGTTTTCGGGTTTGACGGTCATGTCGTTTGCGGGTTGACCTATTTGAACACGACGGCTGGGTGTCCCCTCCTCCACGCCACAGTATGCGGTCACAGCATTGATAGCTGTGATCCTCCGTTGGTGTTCCTTTTCTAGCGTCGTCTCGGGCAGATTCAATATAGAGTCTATTAGGAGGAGCTGTTCCGGCGTCATTTGATCTGACCGCTGTAATGCCTCTCGAGTCTCCTCGTGGACTACCTTTCCGGACAACTGTCGCTCGCTATCGATCACAGGCTGCTCCTTCTTAAATCGGTCTACAATCTGGACAAGCAACTTCCTCCGCTGCCGCTGTTTCTCATTTGTGACGCGTCGACAGGCTTTCTGGTGCTTCTCGTTACTCTGAGTATCCAGTGGAGCTTCTGCAAATTTTTTCGCCCGCCCAATTAATTTGACAATACATGGCAGGCGATTGACAGATGTGGAATGCTTTGTGGTCAACTTGCATGGACGGCGGGGATCAATTGACCGGCTCATTGAACATGCAAATCTCATCAAATCCTTCTCTGGCTTCATACCACGGTAAATCTTAGCAACATCGGCAGTGATCCTTCGATCGAGGTAGTGTTTGAGGAAAGTATCGATGCTAGAATGTTGTAGGATCAGATTCTGTAGGGACTCGCTAACATCCGCTATGAGGGCCATACTATATTAGTATGAAAACTATGATGTAGGAGTATTGGCACTTACGGCTCTCGTTCAAGGCCTTTGCGGCCCCATCACGGAGTTTATAAGGCCCTGTCACAGCAGCAAAGCCGGTGATCTGACCACCTATCTTCATCCGGTAGCGTACTGAATCCGAGGTGACCTGTACTTTATGAGCAATGCGGACGCCGTGCGCTTCACGGACAGCCTGACAGAAGATAAAATTATCATCCAGCTCCTCTTTCAACGGCAACGGTTGCTCATTTGTTCCATCCAGGACCTCGAGGCTATATAGCTTCTCTGGGGAAATAATACTCGGGGACTTGAAGGCTTGGATTTTGAATAGCATGCCAAGTAGGAAGACGTGAGGGCTAGGTACTAGAGTTGGGTCGAAGATAATCTCCGGGATGGGGAAGGTATTGCTTAAGGGTTAGTTAGTAGACTAAAGCAAAAATATAAGCAGACTTCACGTACGCGTCTTTCGAGCCGAGATAGCCCTTCGTATACTCAGCTGTTAGCTCAATAAAGAGTCGAGGACGGCTTCCATTTGGGTCTCGGATCAGGTTAAATTTGAAATGTCGAAAACGGAGATTCACAAGCGCCTCTGGTCGATTACCAGTTATCCCTGCGAGCTGGCAAAACAAAATCAGTTGAATGCGAAGCCAGCCGATCTCGAAAGTCATCTCTCTTGTAGCAAGGAGTACGCGAGCAAACTCGGCCAGATCTTCGACATACATCGTAGCGCTCTCCCGCTTTGTATTGGCCAGGTCCTTTTCGTCAGCCACAAGCCTAATAACCTAAAGGTTACGTTAGCTTTAGATTCTAGATAATGAGAAGAGAATTGAAAGATATGCTTACATCTTGACCTTGAAGTTGGACCATATCATCAATCTTCCGACCAGTCTCGCACTTGTATACTAGCTGGTACCATTTACAGAACTTTCCTAGAGAGCTTGTATGTTTGATTCCAGGTCGCCTTCGTCCGCCCTTCCCCCGTCGTTGGTAGCAAACCCAGCTGAAGAAACCATGAAGGAATTCGGCCGAGACCGTATTGAAGCATTGAAACGGATCTTGTCTAATAAATGTACAGTAGCTACAGATAGAGTGAGGTTAGCACAAGTTTCCTAAAATTGATCTATATCTAGTTCATACCAATCGTGCTGCTCCTTCACCCAGTCAAGCCGATCTTGGGTATTGGGACTGTACCGACGTGACCTGAGCCGCCGTACATCGAGCTTTGCTGCCGCAGCAAGGTAATATTCTGGAGGGCGCCGGACTTCGTCCTCGAAAGGCGAGGCATCATCTTCTGTGTCGCTGACGGGCTCAGCTGCCACGCTTGTAAGGTTGGAAACTTTGGTAACGTCAGGCTCATCGTCGCAGCTATCGAACAAGCTGTCTGCCTCAGTATCAGCTATGCTGCGCGTCTCATCGTCGCTGGACTGGTAGCCTTCCTCGTAGTGTCGCTGGAGAATTGAGATGCAAGGCACGATGAACGAGCTATGCGGTAGGCGAGAATATAGTTGGTGACAGATCGAAAGGTGTGCCGATTGGCAGCGATCGACTGAGGAGGGCGGAGAGCGGGGTGGGAGATAGAGGGGTGGTTGAGGAAGCAAGAAACCTCGAGGGAGTGATGAGCACAAGAGGGAACCGGCGAGGGGCGATGGCCGTTTTTATAGGCATCTCGAGAATGAATTTGGTTAACATAGCGAAGGCTGTTTAGGAGAGAGCTTCTTCTGGCTTTGTAGAGCCCCTCTAGAAACGGGGGCATAATAAGCGGGGGTGATGACTGTGATGGGCATGAGAAGATGAAGAGGGAGGCGCGCAGCGACCAAAAGGTGCACTGTGCTCGGTGGCCGCATCAAAGGGCAGAGGTGCGGGATTATCCGAAAGCTGGTTAGCAGACCCCTCAAAGCAGCTGTCCAACCCCCTCGAAAACAGTACCCTTCTAACCGTTACACCGTGTAATAGAGTA